GGTCCAGAAGTTTGAAAGGAGTGCAGCATTGATGCAAAACACAGACATACCTAACATTACTCCTAATCATGTTGTACATCATGTTACAGATAATGTAGATCACAACATTCAAACTCTCGATGACAAGAATACGTTTCATTGAATGGGCATTATTGCAACAGTCACACCTAAAGTGAGAACAACTTGGCCAGTGATCAGACATGATGTGTCTTCAGAAGACATAGAGGCAATTGGTCGCATCAATAGTCACTACTATTCAAATGACAATGATATGTTTAGTAGTTTGAGGTATGAAGAGCTTGTGAGACAATCATTTGATAAACCTTTAACAGGCTTTGATCTTGTGTGGAAATCATCCTTGCTTTTTAAGACTCCTTGTCCACTTTGGTCAGGATTTATGCAGATGGTTTATAAGGGGGAACATCCTGGTGAATCTTCAGTCATGTTTCTACCTATGATAGATATGGACCCAGGTGACATGTCATGTATCTACTCCACTTTGAAGTTTGTTGAATCTTATGCTGGACGGTACAACTGCACTCCTGTCATCACATTTGATCAGCCACTTTGGTGGAAAGCAAACAAAATTGTAGAAAATGAGCTAGAAGACAGTGATTTTCACAAAATGGTTGTAAGACTAGGGGGGTTTCATACCGAGATGAGTTTTCTTGGCTCTGTAGGCCACATCATGGAGGGGTCAGGATTAAATGCTGTCCTAAGCTTGGTATATGCTGAAAATACAGTTGGTCATATGTTATCTGGTAAGGTAGTTTCTAGGGCAGTTAGAGGCCACCTTCTGATTGATAGTGCATTGAATACTATGTCAGCAGCTCAGATATATGACATTGATCTTGATCAGACCAATGAAGAACAAAATGATTCACAAGAACAACCATTTGTAGAAGTAGAGAATGATACTACCCATATTGACCTAAAGGAATTGCATCTTGTCCTTTATAAGATAATAAATCATGTAATTCATGACAATGATGACAAAATTGATGTTGCAACAGTCTTTGGAGAAAAGCTTCAAGCTGAGAAGGACTCATTTCAAAACCTAAAAACAGCAAAGCTATGGTTGCAATATATGGATATGATCGACCTATTTAGGAACTTCATAAAAGGAGAAAGGATTGGGAGTTGGACACTTCATCTCCAATGTTTGCATGATATGTTGCCATATTTTGCAGCAGCAGGTCACAATCGATACCTAAAGTCTGTATATCTTTATCTCCAAAAAACAGAGCCCAGAGGTATATGCCCATTTTATGAATGGGCTACATGTCATCCGCCGATCAGATAGGTCACAGCAGCCCCAGCTAGTAAGATGTAGTTGTAGTGAGGTCATGGGCAGGACTATCTGCAGATCTCATAATTGAGTAATGCCTAATGCGAAGCATCAAGTCAACAGGAGGTCTCACGAGAGGCCGGGGCATGGCTGAAAAATTCAGCGTCTGGTGTGGATTCTTTCCTCACCTGCATGTCGAGAGATAAGCAGTGCAATGCAAGAACTCACTGATATAACATATGCCACAAGTGAGCAGCATAAAGATGCAACACCAACAAGAATCACCAAAGATGTAACAGATGCTAAGTGTATCCTGAAATACCTTGTTGAAAGAAATCCCTTTTTTCCTGAACAATCATTACGTAACATCGCAACAGGAGTTGCAGCTTCTTCTGTCAATGCATATGACGCAAAATAATTAGGCAACGTGATTGTGGCATGATTGGGAAAAGGGTATCTGAGTGTTCCTTCAAAAGAAAAAGCCAAGCTGTGACCATGGGATCAAAAACTGCAGTCAAGGTAAACAATGAAGAAATACACATAGATCCTATTTTGCTTTTTCAACGCCTTACCATAGCTGGTACACAATCTTTTGATTTGTCAGAGGCTCTAGGTTATGAGCTTTGTTCCTTTCCACTGGCTTTGTTTGAATCAAAAGGTGTAATGAGACCAGCGGTAGAATCACAACTGGCAGAAGCATTGTGGACACCAAAAATATCTTCCTTACAAGGGCCAAGTGACAAAGTTGTTCAACATGTGATTGATGGAGGTGCCCTTCTTCATCACATTCCTTGGCAAAAAGGTTTTACATGGGAGAACATTTTAAGCCAATATGTATACTATGTGCAGTTGAGGTACCAAAATGCTAAAATAGTATTTGATGGGTACCAAAAAATTGCCCTAGCACAAAAGATGCAACTCATCTTCGTAGAAATGGAGGGAACACCGGGACTGTAATCCAATTCATTAACACAATGAAACTCCAATGTAAGAAAGAAGATTTCTTAATGAATCAAACAAACACGCAGAATTTTATTTTTCTGCTGTCAGAGCGACTAGAATCCATTGGTTGAGGTTTTCCATGCAGAGCAGATGCAGACCTTCTCATTGTAGAGACTGCAATTGAATGTGCTGCAACTTCTGAGACCATTCTTGTAGGAGATGACACTGATCTCCTTGGGCTGCTTATTCATCGCGCCCACAACATTGAACACAACATATTCTTCAAGCTTGAACCAAAGCAATCCACACACAAAACCAAAATATGGAACATCAAAGATACAAGACTATCTTTAGGTGACATAATGTGCAGCAACATCCTATTCATTCATGCGTTTCTTGGCTGTGATACTACATCAAGGCTATTTGGAGTTGGGAAACGGGTCTCAGAAAGGCAGATAAAGAAATATGATGTCTTTCAGAAAAGTGCTTGTACATTTAAATTGCACAAAACATATCAAAAGAAGGAGAAGCTGCATTTGTATCATTATTAGGAGGTAAGCTTTGGCAAACCTTAAACAAATTGAGATTACAAAAGTTTCATGAGAAACCTGCCTCTAGTCGAGAGTCTGTTCATCCAGAAGTGCTTCCACCGACATCTGATGCTGCAAAGTACAAGCATGGATGGGGGTAAATCTTCCACCAGAAGAATGGGGATGGGAAATGAACAATGGCCACTATCTCCCAGTTGCTACAACTTTACCGGCAGGACCTTCTTCACTCTTAAAGGTGATCAAATGTAATTGTAAGACAGGTTGCACAACAATGCACTGCACATGTCGAAAGAATGGAATGAACTGTTCCATGGCATGTGGTGAATGTAGAGGAATATGTGCAAATATAAATAACGATGACTAATTGCCATCCGCAATCTCTCTTGAAGTCCAAAATCTGCAATGCCCTGTAGCAGTCTGAGATACTAGTATTTTAAGATTTCACAAATCTTTCTAAATCAGTGATTGTACTTTCATTTTAAACAAATACACTATTATACCTTCACATAAGCACATAAATAAGTGCAATGGCCCATAATTGGCACATTTGATTTGGTTTGATATAAATATATGTCAAATCATACAGTATTAGCCCTACAAAATACCCCCCCCCATTTTCCAGATTTTTCAAATTGCAGTTATAATTTTGTCCAAAACAGGAGTCCCAAACTCTAATAAAAGTTAATATTGGATGAAATATGTCCAAATCATTCTTTAAGTTGTAGAATTGTTAGGAAATACTGCATAGTTTGAAAATTATTTAGCGAAAGTAAGGTCACCCCAAAAGTGGGTGGGGCGAAAATGTAAAACTTATATATTTTTTTTCTTCCCCAATATGCCACTGATGATACTGGTATCCCATATATGTTATGTCCATATATACATGTATCACCATGATTTTTTTAATCATTTTGGAATGCACCAGTCTAGAAATATAAGAAAAGATACATGAAATGTCAATAATTTAATGACTCATTTGGGTTCGTCGAGGGTGAAACAAAAATTCTAAGCCTCAAATGAAAGTTTACTTAGGTAAAAATTTATGTTTTGTCATTCTATTATCATAATATAACAAGAAAACTTGAAAAAACTATTCAATTATAGATAAAATAATTTTTTTTGAACAAATAGTCAAATTTAGGGGTGGGTCGTAGGGGGTACCTATGAAGTAAAATTTGACATTTGTCCACTAATTATATTTTCCTATATTTTTGATATGATATAAGGTGAATATTGATCAACAATTTAAACTAAGTTTGCAAACTATTGCAATTTGTCCTAGGTTAGGCTGTTTTTTTTCACCAATTGACTGGCCTATTGTTAGTTCAATCATAAAACAGGTTTTTGTAACCATTTGTGTCATTGTGCACTTGTAAAAAGCTGGGGTTACTTCCATACACACATTCCGTAGCTCGAAGGCAGATTCTTTACTATGGCAAAAGAAAGGCGCAGTTGTGTCACAGCCTGTAAATGGGTAGAAAACAGTTAGCCATTTGGATTCACATTTCCCATAGCTGCTGCTATTTCATGAGCTGGGATATAAGTGAAATCATAACATTGACATTACTCATTTAGTGAATTTGAAACAAACTGTAGGCCATCAAGTGTTGTTGAGAAACTTGGAAAATTGAAAAGCAGACATTTTGGAAAGCGTTTCCTGGAGTTGTCATTGCCATTGAAAATTTGAAGTTACCTTCTTCCACGTCCGTTTCTCAATTCCTGCATTATGTGTCCAGCCCCTCTGTGTCAGCCATTCTTTATAATGGTTGATCATGACATACGCCAAATCCTAATGTAATAATTAGAGGTGTGAATTTTAAAGCGATCCTCGTAAATCGACCGAAAAACTGATTCTTGATACTCGATTCTTAATACTTGATTTATTGCATTCACAAAAAGGTAGCATTCGCGACTGACTGTTGACTGAAGGCTGACGATTCGATACCTATAGTTGATATGAATATTACCAACTCATTTAAGTGTTCATATTAAAATGAACTGGCCACATAAATCAAAATTAGGCTGTGTTATGCCTGGGTCACATTTGCTCCAATCCATCGGCCGGCGCCCGGCTAATTTAGTGTTTTGTTCAATATTGTATTCAATTTTGAACAAAATACTCAATTGACCGGGCGCCGTAGTGAAAATCGGAGCAAATGTGACCAAGGCATTACGTTATGCTTCTATTGTTGTACCTTGATTCTATCCTGACAGGTGATCTTTACACAGTCTGATGTCATTACAATAATCAAGGATTATGCTTTGATATACCTGGTTTGATTAAAACAAGCAGGAAGATAACAATATCAAAAACAATCTCGTGAGCCGTGACATTACTTTATTTCAACATCATGCTTTGCATTAGCAATATCCTGAATGGCTTCGGTAGCATTTTAAATAATGTATCTATATGGTTATTTGTATTTATTCAGAGAGATTTTACATTCAACAGATCTGTTGATAAAAGTGAAAAATGTGCCAAAATGCACGTATAAGGACAATTTCAACCGTCGAACAATTCGTCAAATTGCAATATATCCGATGCTAGTTATTTTATTCACACTTAATGTCCGGGTTGTTAAAAGTAGAGGAGACACTATCATGAGAAGTAAGTGACTATTTTTTTATATTAAATGATCATCAAAGATATATGTCGTATTAAAATAATAAAACCGTACTGTATTGTATAATGTTGTATCGTATTGTATGGCACATTATCATGATGAGAGCTTCATGATCAACTGTTGCTAATGTTACAATTTGAATTTTGCTTTCTAATATATAGGCATGGCAAGTTACTCTTATAATATTAGTGTCAAGTGTTATCAGATTTAGCCTGATATTCACACCGGAATAGCCTGACAACGATTAATGGCGGACATAACCGTCGCTTCAACTTTTTATCACGTGGTCCTCGTTTCACGGGGCTGTATCGTCGCTAATTCTGTGCATGTGTAAAGCTCGTGTGATCATGTATTATATGAAATCCCAATTTCTAGCTATTAAATGGGGTCGTGAATCGCCACAGTATAGCGTCTTCGATAGATCGTCAATGACAGCGGAATCTGAATTTGAAATAATTTACAAAGACAACTGCATAGGGTAAGATGTGACAACGGACTATGGTGGATGCATTGCATTGGGATATAAGAAAATGACAACGGAAAATAGACACTTACCGTTGTCTTTAAATATACCGTTGTCAAATATTACCGTTGTAACCTCGATTTTACATCACATTTGACCCACACCTCATTTATACAGTATCCGTTGTCCTGAGTCATATTCCGATCGGTAAAATTAAAGCCTTTATTTCGATGGTAGAACATATTTAAGTATATGATCAGTAGAAAAACACTTTGAGTGATTGCAGTACCAAAGGAATTTAATCTAGTCACTCTTTTAAACATACAGTTCATGAAAATTTAATTAAAGCGATGGTTATGTCCGCAATTTGTGACAACGGTATCTTACTTAACCGTTGTCAGGCTATTCCGGTGTGATATTCAACATCAATGTAAAAAAGATGTAAAGAATAATTTCATTTATTAAAACATTTGTAGAACTCAGATTATGTGAAGCATTCAGATTCAAGTTATTATGATGTAAATTACAAATTCGAACATGACAGTAGATATAAAATGTCAGGTATCAGAACGCCACGGGCCGCCACGGGCCCGGGGCTTTCAAAATCTCTGAGAGATAAAGATGGGCAGGAGATATTGATGAGCAGGAGATAAATTAATTGAATGGGGATTAGGAGATAAATTAATTGGATGGGGCTTTCATCTTAAATGTGTAAAAATGTTAGATGGGGCTTTCATCTTAAATGTGTAAAAATGTTAGATAAGATGCGCATGACATCATTGTTATCTTAAATGGGTGAGAAATGTATTTCTTGGACTGAATGTCTTTAGTAAAGTGCAAAATAAATCCCTTTTAATATTATTTTAAATTTGGTATAATCCATTAACAGTGTTTACAATTCTACTTTCAATATTAACCCAAAATTGAAAAGAATCAATAATCCTATTGAGCTGGTCAAACAAATACTGTTCACATAAAAGGAAAGAGAACTGGATTTTGGATTAAATATGAGTACAGATGAAAAGGTTTATTTATTTAAGTCCTATATTGAATTGACCGTTGAAAAGGTTTATTTATTTAAGTCCCTATATTGAATTGACCATTTGATCTTACTCTACTTGATTTCAACAATAATGGTCTTTTAATGTAATAATTGAATGTTGACATTTAATTGTGTCATCACAATGTTAATCCTTCATATTCTAGAACATCTTTTGTTTAATGTGTTAATCATTTTTTCTAGAATGATCTAGAGTATATGACATCATCATTTCATGACCTAAGATTCTTAAAAAATGCATGACATCATGCCCTAAAATAGAATTTGACATCATTTTTACCATATAAAAATCTCCAAAAAGTGTGTGGACCATTTATGAACATGGTAGTAAACAACTGGTGATTTAGACATATCTGTATGCTTGTTTAAGGTAAGTCCTAAATATTTGTATCATATTATATACATGATATTCAATAACACAACATCTAAATGCAGTAGGATCATATATGTTCCAATTTCTTTGATACGTTGTTATATTTATGTAAATAATTTCATAGAAATTGAGGGAATTGTATTTTATGTAAATAATTTCATAGAAATTGAGGGTAAATAATTTAGAAGAAATTGAGAGAATTAAGCATTGTGACATAGTCGAATACTTTAATTATCATGTACAAATATTCACTGATTTACAAGTATTGTTCACAAATGTTCACAAGCATTACCATTAGCATATGTTAGCATTACATCGTTATGACATCATAATTTGAGACGTGGGGCTTTCATTGTTTAGTTTATTAACATTTATTTCATTAGTTAGCATTATTATTAGCATATGTTAGCATCTGTTAGCATTATCATTAGCATCTGTTAGCATTACCATTAGCATATGTTAGCATCTGTTAGCATTATCATTAGCATCTGTTAGCATTACCATTAGCATATGTTAGCATCTGTTAGCATTATCATTAGCATCTGTTAGCATTACCATTAGCATATGTTAGCATCTGTTAGCATTATCATTAGCATCTGTTAGCATTATCATTAGCATCTGTTAGCATTACCATTAGCATATGTTAGCATCTGTTAGCATTACCATTAGCATATATTAGCATCTGTTAGCATTATCATTAGCATCTGTTAGCATTACCATTAGCATATGATAGCATCTGTTAGCATTACATCATTAGCATATGTTAGCATTAGTTTTACAAATGTTCGCTGATGTTAACAAATGTTCACTGATGTTCAAAAATGTTCACAAATGTTCAAAAATGTTCACTAGTATTCTTCACAAATGTTCACTGATGTTCACAAATGTTCAAAAATGTTCACTAGTATTGTTCACAAATGTTCACTGATGTTCAAAAATGTTCACTAGTATTGTTCACAAATGTTCACTGATGTTCAAAAATGTTCACTAGTATTGTTCACAAATGTTCACTGATGTTCACTGATGTTCAAAAATGTTCACTAGTATTGTTCACAAATGTTCACTGATGTTCAAAAATGTTCACTAGTATTGTTCACAAATGTTCACTGATGTTCACAAATGTTCAAAAATATTCACTTGCACTAGTATTGTTCACAAATGTTCACAAATGTTCACTGATGTTCACAAATGTTCAAAAATGTTCACTAGTATTGTTCACAAATGTTCACTGATGTTCAAAAATGTTCACTAGTATTGTTCACAAATGTTCACTGATGTTCAAAAATGTTCACTAGTATTGTTCACAAATGTTCACTGATGTTCACTGATGTTCAAAAATGTTCACTAGTATTGTTCACAAATGTTCACTGATGTTCAAAAATGTTCACTAGTATTGTTCACAAATGTTCACTGATGTTCACAAATGTTCAAAAATATTCACTTGCACTAGTATTGTTCACAAATGTTCACAAATGTTCACTGATGTTCACTGATGTTCACAAATGTTCACTAGTATTGTTCACAAATGTTCACAAATGTTCACTGATGTTCACAAATGTTCACTAGTATTGTTCATAAATGTTCACTGATGTTCACTAGTATTCTTCACTGATGGTCACAAATGTTCACTGATGTTCACAAATGTTCACTGATGTTCACAAATGTTCACTGATGTTCACAAATCCCCCTCCTCCTCCTCCATGTTCACTGATGTTCACAAATGTTCACTGATGTTCACAAATGAGGAGGGGGATGGGGGATGAGGATGGGGGAATGGGGAGGAGGATGGAATGAGGAGGATGAGGAGAAAATAGGGATGAGGATGAGGAGGAGGTGAGGAGGGAATGAGGAGGAGGATGAGGAGGGAATGAGGAGGAGGAGGAGGAGGAGGGGGATTTGTGAACATAAGTGAACAATACTAGTGAACATTTGTGAACATCAGTGAACATCACTGAACATTTGTGAACATTTGTGAACAATACTAGTGAACAATACTAGTGAACATTTGTGAACATCAGTGAACATTTGTGAACAATACTAGTGAACATTTTTGAACATCAGTGAACATTTGTGAACAATACTAGTGAACATTTGTGAACATCAGTGAACATTTATGAACATTTGTGAACAATACTAGTGAACATTTGTGAACATTTGTGAACAATACTAGTGCAAGTGAACATTTTTGAACATTTGTGAACATCAGTGAACATTTGTGAACAATACTAGTGAACATTTTTGAACATCAGTGAACATTTGTGATGCTAATGATAATGCTAACAGATGCTAACATATGCTAATGGTAATGCTAACAGATGCTAATGATAATGCTAACAGATGCTAACATATGCTAATGGTAATGCTAACAGATGCTAATGATAATGCTAACAGATGCTAACATATGCTAATAATAATGCTAACTAATGAAATAAATGTTAATAAACTAAACAATGAAAGCCCCACGTCTCAAATTATGATGTCATAACGATGTAATGCTAACATATGCTAATGGTAATGCTTGTGAACATTTGTGAACAATACTTGTAAATCAGTGAATATTTGTACATGATAATTAAAGTATTCGACTATGTCACAATGCTAAATTCTCTCAATTTCTTCTAAATTATTTACCCTCAATTTCTATGAAATTATTTACATAAAATACAATTCCCTCAATTTCTATGAAATTATTTACATAAATATAACAACGTATCAAAGAAATTGGAACATATATGATCCTACTGCATTTAGATGTTGTGTTATTGAATATCATGTATATAATATGATACAAATATTTAGGACTTACCTTAAACAAGCATACAGATATGTCTAAATCACCAGTTGTTTACTACCATGTTCATAAATGGTCCACACACTTTTTGGAGATTTTTATATGGTAAAAATGATGTCAAATTCTATTTTAGGGCATGATGTCATGCATTTTTTAAGAAACTTAGGTCATGAAATGATGATGTCATATACTCTAGATCATTCTAGAAAAAATGATTAACACATTAAACAAAAGATGTTCTAGAATATGAAGGATCAACATTGTGATGACACAATTAAATGTCAACATTCAATTATTACATTAAAAGACCATTATTGTTGAAATCAAGTAGAGTAAGATCAAATGGTCAATTCAATATAGGACTTAAATAAATAAACCTTTTCAACGGTCAATTCAATATAGGACTTAAATAAATAAACCTTTTCATCTGTACTCATATTTAATCCAAAATCCAGTTCTCTTTCCTTTTATGTGAACAGTATTTGTTTGACCAGCTCAATAGGATTATTGATTCTTTTCAATTTTGGGTTAATATTGAAAGTAGAATTGTAAACACTGTTAATGGATTATACCAAATTTAAAATAATATTAAAAGGGATTTATTTTGCACTTTACTAAAGACATTCAGTCCAAGAAATACATTTCTCACCCATTTAAGATAACAATGATGTCATGCGCATCTTATCTAACATTTTTACACATTTAAGATGAAAGCCCCATCTAACATTTTTACACATTTAAGATGAAAGCCCCATCCAATTAATTTATCTCCTAATCCCCATTCAATTAATTTATCTCCTGCTCATCAATATCTCCTGCTCATCTTTATCTCTCAGAGATTTTGAAAGCCCCGGGCCAGTGGCGGCCCGTGGCGGCCCGTGGCGTTCTGATACCTGACATTTTATATCTACTCATGACTGTAATCACGCCTTCTATAAACTGTGAACAAAGTCAGTATTTCTCCCGGTATGTATTCGGAGACACTGCACCTGGTAATAGGAGTAATGCGTGACGGCATAACAATGGCGGGCCCGATGAATTGTCGAAAAAATTGGTGAGTTTTCATGTTCGAGGTATCGACGGATATATACCTTATGGGAATACGCAAAAGCTTTCAAGCTCCCCACTCCCTTTGGTCGTTCGAGGTACAGAAAACGTTTGTGCCTAGCCCTGCGGTATGTATTCGTCGATATAACACCTGCTCTGAGGTATATATTTCTTAAATATGTCTCATCTCCTTTCTTGTCTGTAGGGGCGGCTGTGACTGCGTTCTTTGTTGCAACAATATTTCATGTATGCACCAAAGACAAGGCTGTCGGGAAGGTCAACTATATAAAGGAATATAAAGTTATTGACTACTTTAACTTGTTAAATGTATTTTCGATAGAAAGACATATTGAACGTATTGAGAAGCTTGTGGATTACTACATAACGAACACGCCATTGACTTCAGCCGACAAGCTAATTTTGAAGGGATCTATGAGAAGGATGAAAAATGTTGAGAAGCGCTTACATATGTTCTCACCTCATATGAAAGAATATATCCGAATGAAGAGAGGGGTTGTAAATATGCTGAGAAATGTATCAGTTGGATTTCTTAATGGAACGAATGAAAGTTTTAAAAACGCGTACCACCGTTTAGAATTAACACTTGGCGACCCTTCATATGTACAGCTCCGGTTAAATAATCCCTTTACTATATCCAGAATCCCAACAACCTCAAAACGGGAAATGAAAAAAGTCTTCAAGCTGTTACTTTTGATGAAGAATAATCAGGAACCTGCAACCAAGGAAATCAAAGAGATAAAAGCAAATATTGAAATATTTTACGAGTATTTGAAAATATTTACTGAGGAGGCAAAGATAATATGGAAGCATATTCAGCTGTTGAAGATTCCTGATAATGATGGTAAGAAGCTGTAACTTAAAACTGCTGTTAAAGTATGTTCTAAATAACGTTAAAGGCCTCAAATAAAGTTTGAACCACTTTGGCTTATGAGCAGTCATACCCAATGTTATGAAAATGTGATATGTGAACCTTTTTATTACACCATCGGTGGGATATAGTCGTCATGATTACGGAGACATCGTGATCGTTGTCGTGATCGTCCCACTTTTTGTCATCGCGACTTCAGGAAAACTGCTCGCGCCATTTCAGGAAAACCAATAATCGGATTTTCTCTAAATTCGAACACCTGATAGAGGATATCAAGTTCTATAGCTGATTAACTTTTGGGCGACCTTCTTTTTTCTGCCATTTTGAAGCTTTTTGGATAAATCTTGTCATCGCCAAATCAGGAAAAGTGTTCGTCGGATTTTCTTCAAATTTGCACACATGATAAAGGATATTAAGTTCTAGAGTTGACTAACTTTTGGCGGCCATCTTTTTTTCTGGCAGCCATTGTTGAAGCTTTTTCGATAAATCTTGTCATCGCCATTTCAGGAAAACCGCCAATCTGATTTTCTCCAAATTTGCACACGTGATAGAGGGTATCACGTTCTAAACCCGATTAACCTTTTTGTGGCCATTTTATTTTTGGCGGCATTGTGAAGTTTTTTCGATAAACTTGTCATCGCCATTTAAGGAAACTGTCCCTCTGATTTTCTCCAAATTCGCACACATGATAGAGGATATCAAGTTCTAGAGCTGTGTAACCTTTGGGCGGCAATCTTGTTTTCTGGCGGCCATTTTGAAGTTTTTTCGATAAATCTTGTAATAGCCATTTTAGGAAAACTTCTCCTCGGATTTTCTCCAAATTCGCACACATGATAGAGGATATCACGTTCTAGAGCTGATTAAATTTTTGGCGGTATTTTGAAGTTTTTTTCGATATTAGGAGTACTGCCGAACGGTGCGGTGCGGTGAAACTGGTAACTACCTACTAGTATCTGAGTTATTGTTTACCAAATGCTTCTGCTCCACCTTCCTAAATAAAACAAGCCATTATTGTTAATATACGCCCTCTTTCAAATGCTACATACTTTGTATAACATAGTCCGGAGTAGGATTGCAAATTGTAATTTGGTTTCCTGTATAAAAAGCCCTTTCTCCTTTTCTGGCACACCACAGCGCCATCTAGTGTTTGATTAATGAATCGAGGTTTATTCTCGATAGGGTAAGTAGTACTAAGTACTAATCTATCAGAAAACATTTTAAAGTTAGAGATGTGCCCGTCAACAGGTTATACGATGAAATGTTAAAATGGTTCTCTCTGGCTTTTTACCCTAAAATTGACCCTATACACAAATGTGCTACAGCGTCAAGTGGCAAAAATATAATTGTTTACGCAAGGGGTGTCCTGACTCTCAGAATCATCGGTGTAATTGCTTTGATTTCAGGCACATTTAACTGTAACAGAGATTCTAAGGGAGTTAACATTATCCAGGCAGAAGATGGTATGGGCTTCCTCGCAGTATGCGACTCGGAATGGTTGGTTGTCGCACAGAGATTTGACGGCAGCGTGGACTTCCCTTCGTTTAACTTCACCTTTGAATATCGTGCAAACCCTCTTAATTATGATCCTGATTATATAAGTGACAATCTATATGGCGAGGGATTCGGCGATCCACCCTCGGAGTATTTTATAGGACTGAATAATCTGTACGCAGTTGCTAAACAGGCCATGTATGAGATACGCTTTGAACTAACCACGTGGGAAGGGGAAACTAGATATGCTTATTACTCATTATTCGATGTAGCATATGATGATTCATATGGGATCTACGGTGAAGGGCCCATATACAAGTTAAGGTTAGGCCATTATAGAGGAACTGCTGGTGATTTTAAGAATTATTATGACTATAGTTCTTTCTCTGACTGCTACTGGATGCGTCATCGATTCTGGTGGTTTGGGGATTGGGTCGATGAGTACCATGAAAACGTATATGAATTGAAAAATTGCGGAAAAGCTAATTTATTTGGACGTTATAATAACGGCCCTAGATGTGACGTTGAGATGGAGTGTATGACGTGGCCAGCCTGGCCTAACGACCTACTGGAATATCCCTACAATGATAATAGGTACTACTCGTTTAAAAAGATGAGAATAATGATACGACGTGTCATCGATCCGTGTATCGAAATCAAGGAAAACACAGAATTGAGAAATGATATGATTGGGGAATGCGAAGGAGCTTGGCTTGTAGTTGCTCATAAGATTAACGGAAGTGTTCATTTCAATCGCACAGTGAATGAGTACATAAACGGATTTGGAAGCATATCTGGGGAATTTTTCACAGGACTTCGTCCGTTGAATAAGCTGACGAAACGATTTAAATGGTATGGTGTACGGTTTGAGGCCACGACGATAAATGGTAAATTACGTTATGCGGAGTACAGCGCGATTGACATTAGTAATTCTTATACTGATGATTTCTATCATGTGGATGTCTTTGGTGTTGGTGATCGTCGGCATTCTTTAGATTGCTCTAATCGCTGGTTTCTTAGTATTTTTGCTACCTGGGATCGTGAAACAAATTGTACTAAAAAAGAGTTCGACTGGTATTGTGGTTGTATGCTGCAGACATCGCCTGGGTTGTTTGACAAAAAAGACAGCATTACATAGAAATATTAAAATGAAAATTAACCTCCACAGCCGCCCTTGCTTTGAACCGTCCCAAGGTGTAGATTTAATTCAACTTCAGAATGGAGATACATTTGAAGCAAAATGTTATGATCAATGGTTAGTTGTGGCTCACAGATTTGATGGAAGCGAGGATTTTTATCGTCCAATGGCGGACTATGAAGCTGGCTTTGGTAACCCAAAAGGAGAGTATTTTATTGGGCTGGATAACCTTAACTCATTGTTGAAACACAATGAGTATGTGTTTAGGCTAGAATTCACAACGTGGGCGGGCCAAACTGAATTTGCTGAATATTACGTTCTCTATGTAAACAAAGATAGAATCCATCTTGAAGATTTTCGAGGCTCTGGCGTATCTGTAATGTCAACATGGATTTTGGGCGGATTTGAGACTGATTTACCCTACGACTATTTTTACGAGTATCACGAGTATAAACAGTTTGATTTGGAGTTATTTGGTACATTCGACAATTCTGACTGCGCCAAGCTACGAAGAGGAGCGTGGTGGTACATTTGGGATGAATATGATGAATATGATTTATCGTACTTGTGTGGAAGTGCCAATCCATTTGGACTGTATATGAATGGCTCAAAATGTGACATAAGACTTGGCTGCATGGGCTGGACGGGTTGGCCTGGAGAACTCTTCAATATAACAGAGCGACGAGAGAACAAGGAACTTGATAATGGCTGGTATTCATTCAAAGAGATGAGGTTTTTAATTCGTCTGAGAGAACCTAGATGGAGAGAATACTCGTAGTAATCTTCTGGGAAAGTATATGAACTGAAAATAATAGCTTATAAGCAAACACATACACTATAAAAACTAGATCAGGATATTTTGTTCAATTAAACCACTTCTTCCATCAGCTTTTAGGATTAGTTTGAATTAATGAAATATGAGGTGGTGCCCGATACCCTTCTTACATCCTTAAAAAACCTAAAAGATCCTTAAACTCTCTTCTATGTTTGGTGTAGTCCACAAATCTGCTCTTTTTTTCCTTTCACCAACCCTAGCAAAAAATTGAAGGGATAAACATACCCTCATTTTTGATATGTTTGTTGTCTTAAAGGGTACTAGATGAAGTTTTAAAAAATTGTTTGTCGGAAAATATTTGAAAATAAGTGCTTTTATGGTAGGTTTGAGACTTTTTGCTCAATTTTTCAGTAATAGTCATAGTTGCTATGATTACCACGTGGTAACCACGACGTCTTAATTTTTGAAGGTTATTCAGTGATAGTTTCGCAAAGATTGGTGAAAACGGGTCGAGGTAGGGTGATACATCAATAGTAATATTCAAACTTTATACTCCCTAATTTTTTAACATTTGGTTCATATTTGCTCTTTGAAATAGAATATATGTGAGTCACCCATTTTCTGCCCACCTTGTACTAATAAACTAATAAAGCAACTTAGTCTGCACATAATGGTTTTGTCTAATAAACGAAACTGACTGTGTATTTCAAGTATTTTTTGTACTTTTAGAAGACGTGTGTTCCTCTCCTGCCATTTTGGAAGAGGCGCCCAGTTTACCAGGGTTTCAGACGGCACCGCGTTTAACTACTACCGTGCAATTTTAATATTTTACAGTTGGACGGCACATTGCCTTAACCCATCAGCTTTATGACGTGCACTTCCGCGTGGGACTATATCTTTACAACGGGAATTTCAAGTTTTTGTCAGTGTAGACATAAAAAGTTGCGGTCCTCTTACTCGCGCAGTTTTTAATATTTTCATTTGAAAATTGCAGGAACGGTGCTTTGAATCTAGCTCTCTACTCTTTGAAAACGTCATGTAGAATCAAAACAGTTGAATTTTTTATTTTTTGTCGTGAAAATATTATTTTTTAGTTTATTTTTATTTTAAAACTTTTGGGGAAAAAATGTAACAAATTTTTATTTCTTGTCATATATATCCGATATTTTGTCATCATGAAATTCGAGATTCCTTTTAATGATGGTGCAAATTTCATAATAATTGATGAATTTTTATTATCAGTGTTATGTTTTCCAAAAACGGTGTACCACTGTGCATGTTTCTTTAATTGACGGCACATTTGCCTTTAATTGGGCGAACGTACAGGCCCCGACGCAATAAGCTTTATTTGATTTAATACACTCAAAAATAAAGTTTGCTATCAAATCAGAATGTTCATAAAACATAAACCTTGCCTTTGTTTTCCCAATTCTAAAAGCAGGCCAAATGAACTATGATATTCGTTTGACTCTCGAGACTACAGAACTTGAACATACTAAAATCGAAGTTACCTATATATTTACGCTTGTAAAGTTAATTATATGTTTAACGGCGTGCTGAGTGAATGTGTCTAATCAAATTTGTCACATACCCATAATATCGTAGATCACAATTCTAAGTTTAAAAAGAAATTTGGATTCGTAAGAAGTATTTCTGTTTTAAACTTACCTTTGCTGTCTGAAAAAGATCAATATTCATAGACGGGGATGTTGAAACCTATATTTCCTTTGAATGACCTGCATTTGTACTACGAAATGATCCTGTGGAGAAAAGTTGATGAATTCCAAACAGCTAGTTCTAGCAAATCTACTAATATAAGCTTACTTTCTTAAAGTATTTCAATGTTAAAAATATCTATTGATATGTTTCATTTTTAAAATGACCCTTTGCTTCCCTTTACTTATATGTGTGACTTAATGAAGAATGCTGTTTACCAGATCAAACTTAAGACGTAAACTTGGCAATTACTGCATGTTATAACGCAATTTTCTTTAATTTTCTAAAAAAATAGTATGTTTTCGAACGGTCACTTATGTTAATCTATGACCACGGTATGATTGAAAATGAAAGAACTGAACCAAGTATTGTTGACTGGGTTGAATCATAAGATTTATTTTGATTGATTTAATCTCTTCTTGAATTTTAAAACTTTTGTCCGGATTACATCTGCTATGGAATTAAAGTTCAAATATACCTCAGAATTGCTTATTGAATTAACCTAGCAATTAATCTGAAAATAATTCTTTACATAGGTTATACAAGGGGCGATCCATATATTCTGATAAAAATGCTCTCATTTTGTGATTTTTTCACATATTCCTCTCATTTTTTCAGAAAATGTAGATTATGTAATTACACATACAATGCTTAAATATTATAGCTATATCTTAAATTATCAATGAGATAAGGTTGCCATGGTAACCTGTATCAAGGGTAGGCAGGTCAATTAAATTATACTTATAAATATCGTAATAGCTTGTTATTTTAATTATTTTAAACCATGCAGAAATCATACATTTTTTCTAAAAAGGTTTGGTATTGTTACTCGTTGTTTGTTGCTAAACAAATGTTTATATGTGCTCACTATAACATCACAACAAATCACAATAGCATTGTAGGACAGCATGGGCCAATTGACATTACATGTTATGAGACACCCCAAAAATCAAATTGTCAGATGAGGTTAATGTGGCTGGTGCAGAGTGTGACATTAACGGATACATTAGGGAATACCATTAGATTTTATTTTCTTTCAAAAAATAAGTAAGAGGACGCTGTCAGAGACATACATGGACTCATTAAGTGCATGGGCAAGGTGTTATATCTGCATAAAGAATCAATAGGTAGTATTGTAAAGAGGAAGACATGGTCACTGTTGAAGATCATCTACAATCTGGTTGCAAGAAGAGCTTGTGGACAGAGAATAACACTACGATAAATTGAGATGTTACTTATGAAAATATAGCTATCCCACTGTGTAAATTATCAAACAAGGGCAACAGGGGTATAGAACAGATCAATGAATAGTTGGCAATGACTGGAAGATGCGTTTGATCTGCTTAAAATAGGTACCGAGGAATGATTAAATTAACATATTTATCTATTTTAGACGTTATAATTTAACTGACCTGCCTACCCTAAATACAGGTTACCATGGCAACCTTATTTCAAAATTAATTTAAGATATAGCTAAAATATTTTAGCATCTTGTGTGTAATTACATAATCTACATGTTCTGAAAAAATGAAAGGGATATGTGAAAAAATAACAAAATGAGAGCATTTTTATCAGAATATATGGATCGCCCCTTGTATATCATAGATCATAGATATGTAAAAAATAAAAATATGTTTTGAAAGATGAATTGGTAACAAACGTTTTCGTACACGTGCCATTCTTCACCTTCAGCCCATTTAAAGCACGAAATCCCGTATGACGTAATATAACGAAAATGCGCAGATAATTGATTTTTTAAAATTTTAATTCAACTCACATTGACCTTTCTTATTTAGAACGTGTTTAAAGTTCTCATGTTAAGAAAATAAATATGTGGAAAGGCAATGGTTTAAAGCTTATGAAAATGTCAAAATCATAATTCAGTTTTAAAATAAGATATTGACATGCATTAACGCACATGTGACATTATCTCTTTTTGTGCGATTCAAACATAAAAATCTCATTACAGTTATACATATGAACCAATCTTAGCCATGCCTTTCTAATAGAAGGAACTAAATTTGAATCAAAAAATAATTCTGTGTAAAGATGATTCCCAATAGATATAATAAATGTCAAAAATGTCAAAAAAGAATTATCAAAAATTAAATACTCACACGCTTTTAAGCACACATGACCTTTTCCAGTTTTGCTCATTTCATTTACCTTGAAAACCAAGGAGACCGAACGCAATTGCTATATACAACCTTGATACGTGTACCAGGTCTATAATTGCATTTCTCATGAAAGGAACCAAGCAAAAATTATAAAAATAATTCTATGTTAAGGTGATGCTTCACAAATAATATTAATGTCAAAAAATTAATTCATTTCTTCAAAATTAAATACTGACAAGCATTTACGCACACATGACCTTTTCCAGTTTTGCTTATTTCATTTACCTTGAAAACCAAAGAGACTGGACGCAGTTGCCAAATACTTTTTGGTACGCGTGCCAGGTCTATAATTGCATTTTCTCATGGAAGGAACCAAGCAAAAATTATAAAAATAATTCTATGTTAAGGTGATGCTTCACAAATAATATTAATGTCGGGTCCAAAATTGCAGTTTATCATGAAAGAAATCGAACAATTATTATAAAAATAATTATGTGAAAAGGTGATGTTCTTCAGATCATATAAACATCAAAATTGTAATTCATTTATTGAAAGTTTAATATCCACATGCTTTACCGCACACATAACCCCTTCCCTTTTTGTTCATTTCATCTATCTTAAAAATCAGTGAGCCTGAACTCATTGCTAAATAATTTTTGATATGAGTCAGCTGCAGGTCTAAAATTGCATTTTATCATGGAACAAAACGAGCAATCATTATGAAAATAATTCGGTGTAAAGGTGATGTTCTAAAGACAATATATATGTCAATTTGATAATTCAGTTACTCAAAATGAAATATCCACATAGTTTTACGCACACATGATAATTTTACTGAATGACGCTACTTTTTGGATTCAACCATGCATATAACGTCGTAAAATACACATTTCTACCAAAATTATGCCCAACCGTTTTCGCAGAAAATGTAACAAATGAAGGCATTTTATCGGAACTGATTGATATTTGGTACTTATAAAATATCGTATTTACTTTAACTTTTAAGCGATTCAGACATTTAAAAAAATGATGTTTAATCAATGTTAATTTCGCAGGAATGTAGGGTACAAAATGAGTGAAAGTCTCACGTGTTTGATTGCATTTTACTCCCATTCATGTGCATTTTTCTAACATTAAAATTAGATAGTTCGAAAGAAGAGATCAGTAGAATTCTATCCGCCACTTTCATTTTCAAATGTTTAAATGTTTACCATTTCAATGGACCTCATAAAGATGGTAGCCAACGGACCAGAAACAAGTAGTGCGATGACGTCATATATCGCTACACCACTTTGATATAAAGTTTGGTAAACAACAATGGTTTTTTTCAATGTGCCGTCCTACTGTTAGCGCATTAAAATCGAACAAACAAAAAGCGATACGAGTTTCGCTTCTCAGTTAGAAGATACGTCATCAAGTTACATATTCAGTTAAGACAAATGTTTTTCGATTTGTATTGAATCGATGACATCATCCAATTAAACAAACTTGTCATTGATTTGATAAAAAATTCCAAATAAATACAAGAACACACTCAAACCATCGACAACGTACAGTGACAAAATATACGGATATACACTTTAGCTGTACGTTGTCACGTTTGAAGTAAAAATTGTGATGTAGGTTTTAAAAAGAATTGGAACACTGCTCAAGAATCTATTATCCTTAGATAATTCTTTAAAAATCTAAGTCACAATTTTTGCTTCAAACGTGAAAACGTACAGCTAAAATGTACACACGTAAAATTTGTCACCGTACGTTGTCGATGGTTTAAAGCATATGAAGAAGGGATTCTCTCACAATATTCCAGTCATACTTAACATTGCGGCAGTTTCGTCAGTCAACTAGAACTAGTGAATTATAATTTTTGAGAACTTCCCTATATTTTTTCCTTTGAAAGCATCTGTCAGGAAGTCAAACCTCAGATTCATCTGCAACATTTAGCCTTGAGGACTGTGGTAATATGTGCTCTTTTTGCAACGCTTTTGGTAAGTATTTAATTCTTTTATCATGACACATGCATATTCGTTAATTTACTATATTTGCACATAGCATCTTAAGATTATGGCTATTCAAATATTGTAATATTTAATGATGAATGATTTGAAAGAATTAAAAAATAATTTTTCTTAAGCTTATATTCTTTGAACTGGACCAGGAATATTTTTATACGTTGGAAAAGTTATTTGAAATTCCCGCCAAGGAACTAATGTAAGTTAATTGTGTATGTGGCGTGTCATGACCCAGTAAATGCCACATAAAGATTCTCGGGAAATTAGGTGACTTCTGTGACTTTGGACAATTCGGAGGTCATTTGTACTATTAATTGGCCGTTCAAGGTAATATGAAGCACACTAGGATGTGAGTTACGTGTGCATTTACAAAGGTTTTTAAAATGAAGATTAATTGGTCAGCAGAAAGGAGGAAAAACGGAATGCAGATCGTAAACATGTTTTGTAAACAAACTTTGATCTTGAACTTGGCATGTTGAAAGCAACAATATTCGCTGTCACGTTTGGATTTTTTCTGCTTCGTAAGGTCTATACATGCACTCGTATGTATTTTAAGGGTATTTAGGTGAATTAGAAAATGAACATTGGACATTTGTATTTGTTAGTTGGATATTTTTTTTTTTTAACATTCATGCTAAACCTTGCCATTGGATTGTCATTGTCAGTGGGTTTATGAAAAACACCGACCGCTGACCACCGACCACCGACCAGTCACTCTCCACAGTTGGGTACATGTGGTCGGTGGTCGGCTGACGGTCTTTTACATAAAGATGAAAAAATGCAAAATTAGAAGTAAAACTAAAACTGGGAATCCAATGACTATAGTACCTTTACTACATGTAGGTCGTGATTTAAAAACGTATAATTAATCATTTCAAATCACGATGAAAACGTTACATCATCGTGGTGTGTAATGTCATATTTTTAAGTGATGTTTCAGCTGTTAGAAGACCAATTTCATCCTGGTTAGTCACTTTGGAAAAAAACGCACGTAACATTGCATAAGTTCATTCATATGAAACGCAATAACAAAAACACACAAACATCGTCGATGTTGACGTCGTAACGTTATGTTTGATTTCTGAGTTGTTAAACGTCAACTGGTAAAAACTACATTTGATATGACAAAAAAAGCTTTCTAATGGTGTACTGAAATGGTAAGTCACTTTTAATCCCGATAAGAGAACGCATGTAACATTATATCGTGTTCAGTATTCAGTAGGCTATGACGATAACAAATCATTTTTGTTTCGAAATTGTTAAATTTCAGTAAAAAATTAGGATAGATTCCCGTAGAAACGATAGGTTGGTTAATGATAGGTTAGGTTAGGACCTAAGGCAGGACAATTAATCGAGAGGAGACGGTCATGCCCAATTTGTTTGCTTGCCATTCATTGCAAGGTACAAAATCGGTAAAAACCGTTGCCTAGTCCCAACGATTGACATTCAAAATCAAATTATTAATATTTTAAGGCTACAAATATGTTCGGTCTTTTACATGATATGGTCGGTCTTTTACACATTTTCTTCAAACCCTGTTTTGAGGCTACCAGTGGAAAACACCGACCGGTTGGTGGTCGGTGGGGTCGGTCTTTTTCGTAAACCCATCTTCAGTCTGTATGTTATCAGCTAGGTCTGTGCCATATCAGGACTTCTCTTTATCTTTAAATTTGTATTTTCTACAGAGAAATCAAATGGCAATTTTGATAGAAATTCACAATGTAGCATTCAAAATCTTCTGAGAACTTCAAAAATTGCTGAAATTCTAGTAGCTCGGGTTTATGTAAAAAACCGGATGAGCGGGTGGCTGGGTAACCATGTAATTAACGTTCCTTGCAGGGTTACCAACTTTCAAAGTTGCACATTTGTAGACTACCCTTCAATATTTTTACGTTATCATTTTACCAAGAACCTGTAAGAGACTGAATTTCGCAAGTGATAGGTAGTTATTTACACAGTTTACACGTACGCTGACGTTAGTTGCTTGATTTCTTGTCTGAGTGATTGACAGGATATCAATGATTGTTTTCTATGATGGCGATTTCTACTAGATATTAATCAAATCTGGAAGATTTATGTATGTGTAAATTGAAACGTTATTCAGTTGCCGTTTTTATCTGCTAATTAGTGTATGATGTACGATACAACGTCAGTTGCTTGATTTATTGCCTCACTGATTGACATTATATTAATTTTGTTTGTCGTTTTGCCGGTTGATTTATTGGCGAATAAATTTTGTTGCTTGTTTAGTTGTTTGCTTGATTGGTTGTGTCACTGTTACGTTGATTGGGATGTCACTTGGGCGTTTTGAAGCATAAAATTCCTGGCCCTGGTAGGAAGGTAGGGTACCGGCTACCGGGTTACCCGGTCACCTGGTTTTTTACACAAACCCGAGCAGCTCTCATTCGGAAATCACTGGAAATTTCAAATGCTACTTCATAAACAATCTCTCGCTTGAAAATGCCCTCTCAGTGTTTCAGTTTCAGCCATCATGATTCTTTAACGAGTGATAGGTGTTGAGTAAAGGCTGTTCTATCGGACCAGCAAGCCTTTAAAAGAGGTAAGATAGATCCATTGGAATAGGCAGGAAGGGTTTGTGGGGCTTGTATGAACCCTAACAAGTTCATAAGAAGCAGATGCAGATATATGATTTAACCTCTTGACTACTGAGGAGATTTCTCGCCACCTCAGAAATGACCTTGAAACCCAAAGTGACGAGAAAATTGCTCTTATTTGAACAATTTTTATCCAATTTACAAAAAAATTGTTTTAAAATGTGTAGAAATGATCTCTGCCGTCTAATTTTACTGAGTTGAGCATTGTATAGTAATGTAGTAAAATGTCAAAAGTGGCAAAAATGAAAAATTCTCTGGTTTCAACCGATTTTAGAGCCTGGGATTCAAGAAGTTAAACACAAATGATATATGTCTTCATATTGTCTTGTGTTTCTGTTATTAGGACACAACTATCAGGCTACCACATACATGTACACCTCACTCACTTGTATACATTTCTGATTCAGTGTTGGGGATAAAGAACACACGACACAATGCCTGGATTGCAAAAAGTCCTGAAGGGTGTACTACAGTACAGAGAACTCTTCAAAAGTAAAATGGTGGAAAAACTTGTCCAGATCAGTGAGCACCCACAGGTAAGAAGCCTTTGTTATCATTCGAAAATAAAGCTGAACCTGCAATACGAGCGGTATCATCAACCATAAGGTTTTACAAAATACCCCCTTCTCTATCTTTGCAAACTTAAAGAGGAAACATCTGTACGCTGTTACATACATGTACTGAGCACTACATATTAATTTAAATATGCCGACGGCAGATGTTTTGCTCTTAAAGTCTTTAAAGGTTTTATAAATCAGTCGACTCAGTCTTATGTTATCAAATCCTATAACCACTTTAGATTGTGGTCGTTTGCGCAAACCATTGATCAGTCAATGTTTTTACAAAGTTGGAGAAAATACTACGCATTGCACACTTAAGTGACCAACCTCGATACATTCCTTAATATTTTAGAATTCTTTTAATGTAGTTGAATCGCCAAATGTATGGGTTTATCGGCAGGATGAAGAGACGTTTTTGATAGCAATAGGTTGCATGTAATATTTAATTTATTTGAACCGTCAGTCCAGTCCCAGCATGCACCAGTCATAAGGGGAATCCCCCTCCAACGAGCATCCGCCATCTTGGAAAGTGCTTAATATTTCCAATTCAATAACGAAGATCTCTTCGTTCTGCCAATAAACCCATACAATTGGCGGTTCAACTACATATAAAGAATTCTTAAATACTCATGATTGTATCGAGGTAGGTCATTTAAAGGTGCAACAATTAGTGCAGGGGGGCAATTCAACGATCAGCGACCAGTGTCAAAATAAATATTTAAGTTTGGCTATTTTATCAAGACTAACAGATATTTTCATTATCTACAAAGTGGGACTCCCTTTATAGAAGCTTTGAACTGAATTTACACTTCTTAATGCTGAAATTGAGAGTTTATCAATACATTTGAAGAAAATAAGTATGTCAAAGAAGATGTTAAGCCAAATATTGACCTGATAGCTCAAACAAAAATAAAATTTTTCGAATTTTCTCTCTAGAGTCCTTGTTGCCCCTTTAAGTGTGCAATCCATAGTATTTTCTCCAACTTTGTAAAAACATTGACTTACCAATGATTCTCGCGTATGACCACAAACTTACTGGGGGTCGTAGGATGCGATAAAGTCTTATGCAGTAGCTGATTTTTTTGGTAAAATATGATGCATTGAATTATCTGTTGATAATCTGTTAATAGTCTGTTGTCTGTCAAATATACTCCATTGCATTTTTCATCCATTTTTAAAAAAACACATTAGTATTCATGACACCAGGGGTTCGTTTTTGTATCGTTCATAGTTATGAATATTCGTAAATCCATTGTTTAATTTGCGAATTTCATAAAGTTACATTTTTGTAAGATTCGTAAAGTTACGAATGATTCATAAAATAACCTAAACAGTGATGTCATGCTTGCTTTAGTTCGTAGATTTAATAGATTTCTGACGCTTTGTTATTCCAAATCAGAGAACACAAAAGGCAACTCTGTGATCAACTTATAAACCTATTTCAATATCTGTTTCAGTGCGAAAACAGACTGCATGTTATCAAATAGATAATAAGCAATAAATGACCCATCAAAAAGTTACTATGATATCGGGGATTTTGACATTGTTACCTTTATTTTTCACTTCAATTTTATAGTTCCTTTCAAGAAATATATGATCCATTCTTGATGTATTTGGGCTGATTCTTTCGAGAATTCTTATATCAAAAATAGGTATTATTAGTTCAAACATGTTCCATCTCAGAATTTATTCTAAACATTGATGCAAACCCATGCATCTTCATCAGATGAAAAAATGTTGAAACATAATATCATCAATTTAAACTCTGAAATGGAATTTATTTATTTGGAAACTACGCTTTTACAACAGCGGCACACAAAATTGGTGCGTCCATTTAAGATACAGTTACATGAAGACAAAAATTTTACTTGGTATTATTTAAGACATTGCTTACTAAGACATTGCTTATTTAAGACATTGCTTAAGACAATATAGTTGAAATGCAATTCATCCCTGATATGAACATTCATTGAATAATTATTATTATGTCACCACCAAAAGTGGTGACAAATTGTTATGGTCTCCGTTTTTTTGCGACGGCGGTTGGTGGTTGGCGTCCGGCGGTTGGCGTCCGGCGTCCGGCGTCTGTAACAATTTCTTACAACTTCCTATAACTTAACAAATACTGTTTAGACTGACTTCAATTTTTTCTAAATCATCTACATGTTCTCAGAAGTTCAAATCTGACTTTAGATTTGACATTTGACCTTCAATGACCTTCTCAAGGTCAAAAAGGTCTTTTTTCAACTTGCTTCACATTGACTAAATTTTTTTTCAAAATCATCTACATGTTCTCAGAAATTCAAATCTGACTTTAGATTTGACCTTCAAATCTGACTTTAGATTTGACATTTGACCTTCAATGACCTTCTCAAGGTCAAAAAAGGTCAAAAAGGTCTGTTTTCAACTTGCTTCAAATTGACTAATTTTTTTTTCAAAATCATCTACGTGTTCTCAGAAATTCAAATCTGACTTAAGATTTGACTTAAGATTTGACATTTGAGCTTCAATGACCTTCTCAAGGTCAAAAAAGGTCAAAAAGGTCTGTTTTCAACTTGCTTCAAATTGACTAAAATTTTTTTTCAAAATCATCTACTTGTTCTCAGAAATTCAAATCTGACTTTAGATTTGACTTAAGATTTGACATTTGACCTTCAATGACCTTCTCAAAGTCAAAAAAGGTCAAAAAGGTCTTATTTCAAATTGCTTCCAATTGACTAAATTTTTTTTTCAAAATCATCTACATGTTCTCAGAAATTCAAATCTGGCTTTAGATTTGACATTTGACCTTCAATGACCTTCTCAATGTCAAAAAAGGTCAAAAAGGTATTTTTTCATCTTGCTTCAAATTGACTAATTTTTTTTTTCAAAATCATCTACATGTTCTCAGAAATTCAAATATGACTTTAGATTTGACTTTAGATTTGACATTTGACCTTCAATGACCTTCTCAAGGTCAAAAAGGTCTTTTTTCAACTTGCTTCAAATTGACTAAAAAAAATTTTCAAAATCATCTACGTGTTCTCAGAAATTCAAATCTGACTTTAGATTTGACTTAAGATTTGACATTTGACCTTCAATGACTTTCTCAAAGTCAAAAAAGGTCAAAAAGGTCTTTTTTCAACTTGCTTCAAATTGACTAAATTTTTTTTTCAAAATCATCTACATGTTCTCAGAAATTCAAATATGACTTTAGATTTGACTTTAGATTTGACATTTGACCTTCAATGACCTTCTCAAGGTCAAAAAGGTCTTTTTTCAACTTGCTTCAAATTGACTAATTTTTTTTTTCAAAATCATCTACATGTTCTCAGAAATTCAAATCTGACTTTAGATTTGACTTAAGATTTGACATTTGACCTTCAATGACCTTCTCAAAGTCAAAGAAGGTCAAAAAGGTCTGTTTTCAACTTGCTTCAAATTGACCAAATTTTTTTCAAAATCATCTACATCTTTTCAGAAGTTCAAATTTGACTTTACAAGTTCTCAGAAGTTCAAATCTGTCTTTAGATTTGACCTTTGACCTTCAATGACCTTCTCAAGGTCAAAAAGGTCTTTTTTCAACTTGCTTCAAATTGACTAATTTTTTTAAAATCATCTACATGTTCTCAGAAGTTCAAATCTGACTTAAGATTTGACATTTGACCTTCAATGACCTTTTCAAGGTCAAAAAGGTCTTTTTTCAACTTGCTTCAAATTTACTTAATTTTTTTTCAAAATCATCTACATGTTTTCAGAAGTTCAAATCTGACTTTTGCATTTGACATTTGACCTTCAATGACCTTCTCAATGTCAAAAAAAGTCAAACAGGTATTTTTTCAACTTGCTTCAAATTGACGGAATTTTTTTTTCAAAATCATCTACATGTTCTCAGAAGTTCAAATCTGACTTAAGATTTGTGTGCAACTAGTTTTAACTTGCTTCAGATTGAACAATTTCTTTTTTCAAAATCATCTACAAGATCCCAGAAGCTCAAATCTTCAAAAACCTTCTTAAGGTCAAAAGGTATTTTCCAACTTGCTTTAAATTGACCAAATTGTTTTAGGTGGTGACATTTTGTCATGTTAATGCCTTGTATTCTGTATGCATTATCTTTAATATTCAACCTATTTCATTTTATTACTCCTACAACTTTAGAACAACATGGTGAGACATTTGACCTTATAAGAATGGCATTTCTGCAAGTACTAAACAAAGGGTGACACAAAAATAGAATCCTCTGTTCACCATGTGCTTTTACTGTATTTCCTATTTTAGAATTCTTGCTTTTTCAGGCAATTAACCTCCTTTTAAACCTGAGAGACAAGATTTTGGAATAACTCTCAATTATGTTGATATTCAGTATCCAAACAAGCAAGTTAAAAACGATTTATTTTTACAAAAAGAGGGTTACACTTTTGTGTTCACTCAAGCTTTATGAAAGAAAATGATTTATCTGCTTAACAGTGTTACTGTATTCTTTGCTTTCAGTAGGGATCATAACAGAATTTAAATGGCTTTTCTGTGAATTTGTTTCCAATATTTAATCTACACATTGTTAGAACGACCAGGTGTTGTACCCCATTGAAAATCTATAAAGTGCATGTTGTCCCCGCTGAAATCAGGAGTGCACTAACGTAGCTAAGCTATTCTTTTTAGGGTTAGGGTTTAGCTAGGCTTAGGTGATATAGGGTTAAGGGCTGAAATATCTTTGGCCATCTTTGCTTGCAGTATAACAGTCGTAACCTGTTCAATATCTGTGTTCACCCTGTCAAAATACTGAAATGTTTGGATATTTTGAACATACTTGGGGAGATCAATGACTTATAAAGGGTGTGAGCTAACTTTGTTTCAAAGTAAACCATTAAGATATGTATTGTGTGACTCATTGTATTTTCAATATGGATGATGTTTAATAAAGGGAGCCACACATACATCTTGCATGTTTATCCATTGTAAATATTTCAAAGCATGTGACACTGTCTAGTGACGATTTTGCTATTAGGTGGCTATTTTCAAAAAGGGCAGGCAAGGCTTTTTAATGGGATTGCTTGGCCTTGGCATTGCTGTTATACAGTATAGCGCCGTTAAAGATATTCTCCGCTCATATGTTTAGATTGTCTACTTTTTGCATGAAGAAGTGTTCAAACATAACATTATCATGGATAGGGTACAATGTACTTTTTGGCTCACATAGTGAGCCTATGGGATTGACCAGGCGTCCGTCCATCCATTGGCCCGTCCGTCCGTCGTATGTTGGTCCGTCCGTCCATCAACATTGGCCGCACAAATTAAAACTGCTATTCGGATTGAGTCATATCCACATTCATTTTATGCATATCCATAATGCCTATTTGACCTATCATCGCCATTTCCCAAGTTCGCCCGGTTTCTGAGAAATTGCTGATTTTGATGTCAAAAAGTCAAATTTTCTGTAAATACTAGACACTTTGTTGAAGTAGAACTTTCAAATATCTTGTAGTAGATGCTGTATATGCAACTTATGTCCTCTGAAGATTTCAAAGCACTTGGAATTACATTTTTTGATGTTTACTCTATAAAATTTGACAAAAAGTAGGACTTATTTGGTAGTTTAGAGAATACAACACCAAGAAAATGCATGCTGGTGGCTCCCAGAGGGTATACACATTTTTCACCAAGTGCTTTTTTCATCTCCAATCAAATTGCAGGATTCGATCACGTGAACAATCATGGGCACATGCTCTCTCAGTGCTGCGCATGCGCAGAGTTAAATTTGAAATCGTGGGAATGGCGTTTACATCAGTTCAACATCGTCATTTCAAACCTACGGTAATACTATTGAAGTTACTCGATCCATACTTGTAAAGAATACTCATAAAACTACAGTGAAAATTTGGAGATCCATTTCAACGGCAAATTGAGGCCTGTTTATAAAATTTGTTTTCGAACGTGCTAATATGATAGGGCATCTTTGGGGAATCTCCCCCCTGGCCAACACGGTAAAATACCGAATGGCGAAAAAAGCGAACGCATTCCGTTCGGTCTTTGCACGCGATTGCCGTTTATGTCACGCATTTGGTATAAAATATGTGTATATATCACTCATTTGTTTCAAAAATATTCACATCTACTATATATATTTTGCAAGTGGATCCAAGAGACCAAGTGGGCAAGTCAATTATTTTGCAGGGGTGGCATGATACACAGATTTCAATTTTGTATATAGTGAATTCCCAGTGATTGATTTTCATAGTGAACACCTCTTTAGTGAAGATCTGTGCCCAGTGACATGCCTCTACTCTATTGAACACCTGTGTATATTATAGTGAACACCGATTCCGTCCAAGCCAGTGAGTTCAGTACAGTAAAAATATCCTAATGAACACCTCTTTAGTGAAGATCTGTGCCCAGTGAAAACATGCGTCTACTCTATTGAACACCTGTGTATAGGGAACACCAATTCCCAGTACAGTAAAACTGTCATAATGAACATCTCTTTAGTGAAATACTGTGCCCAGCGAACATATGAGTATACTCTATTGAACACCTGTGTGTAAGCGAACACCAATTCCCAGCCAGTGATTTCAGTAACTTTAAGAGGGGATTGTACCTACAGTAAAATCTGTCTAATCCAAGGGACCAGCTCAGAGCGTTCGGATTAGGAGGTGTTCACATTTTGAGGTTTTGCATTTGCAAGATTTGGGTTTTTGAAGAAATAGAAACAAATTCTCAATAAATATTACAGTTCTTTTGACTACTTAGCTTTGGCATTAGAGTGACATGAAAATCTGATTCAAATGAATTTAGTCATCCTAGAAAGCCCCACCATGAGTGAGATCGTTCAAGTTTTTTTCAAATATTTGATCAATTTATGGAACATGTGATATTTTATGTGTTCAGATAAGATAGGTTAATTTTCAAACATGACTACTATCAAAATTGGGAGATGTTCATATTTCAAGTTTTTTAAACATTTGAGTCAATGGGAGAAAAAACGGGACCAAAAAATGTTCAAATTGGGAGGTGTTCGGATTAGCCAAGTGTTCAGATATACAGGTTTTACTGTACTACAATTGTTTTCAATCTTTTGGAGGAAAGTGTACATCATTCCAGAGAAATGACAGATGCACTGTATATACAGTGATCGCCTACTATTAAAAGTGCGTGATCAAAGACTCGACAAGATGCGCAAAATTCAAATATTTTGTAACGGTTACTTTTAAAAGATTTATTTGTGTTTATATTACAGGCTACTGGTGATTCAATTAGGTTTTGTAGGCACAAGAACACCCATATGCTTTGAGAAATATATATTAGTTTGACCATTTTTCGTATATGTTATTGATTTTACAATTTAAAGATATAAATGCGATACAATATGTGTTATTTTATTTAAAAAGCTTGAAAATATCAAAAACAATAGAACATTTTTACTCTCTTTAATTTTTCATACTTAGGTAGTCTTGAGTCTCTTATACAGCATATGGAATACCATCTGTAGGTAAAATGTCATTAAGGTGGTAAAGAAAAGAGAAACAAACATACCTTTCCTCCGACATTTCGAATTTTGCGCATCTTGTCGAGTCTTTGATCACGCACTTTTAATAGTAGGCGATCACTGTACATACAGTGAGGTGACACACTGTTATGGGAACTGGTCATATCAGATGTTCCCACGCTTTTCGTCCAGAAGAGGTCATTTCCCAGGATTATAGATGAACCCTTGGCCAATCAATGATATAGTTTACATAAGAGAAGTATGACTGTATGAATTCTGGGATATTCCTGTTTTGTTGAGACAGGTGAGAATAAAATTAACCCTTTGCAAATTTGATCAATACTGCCTCCAATCATCCAATACTTGGCTCAGTTAAAATAGTTGATTTATATTTGAATTCGATAATAACATTTAAAAATTAAATGTGTAGTAGTAATACTTTAGTACCTCTTATTAATTAATGTATAATATTACAACATACATAATGATGTAGGCAATTTGTTTCATAAAAATTTAAAAGTAAAATTCATAATTTAAATTTACCCCCTGGGAGCCCCAAAATTTTAGAAAATGCATTTTCTTGGTGATGTATTTTCTAAACTACCGACTTATTTATAAAGTCAATGGCAGGTTTTGTGATTGACAAGTTTCTCAAAGTTTGCCTTATATTTGATCATTTCTTGCAATGAATTACATCATAACTAGATATAAGCATTCCCTACATATTGCTCAATATATGTCAGTATCAAATTTTTACCATTTTTGAGATATTTGACGTCAAAAAACAGTAAAAATAAGTTATTTTTCAACTTGCTTCAATTTGACCAAATCTTTTTTGAAAATCATCTACAAGTTGCAAGGAGTTCAAATCTGACATTAGTTTTAGGATTTGACCTTTACTTGACCTTCAGTGACCTTCGAAAGGTCAAAAAGTTGATTTTTCAAATTGATTTTTGGATGTAAATTTTGGTCAGCTTAATCACAAATGACCTTACTGAGCTCTGAATAAGTAACATTTTCAAGGTCAAAGGTCATCAAACTAGGTCACACAACTGTGCTATCTAAGTTCCTCAACGTTTGAGACTACGAATCCAAATCAATATTTTTGTTTGAAAGTCAGGATAAACATTCCTCTGAAGGTTCCAAACTGTGTGAGCACAGGACCGTGGGTCCTTTATTATATCAACCAATCATAATGATTCATCATTCAATAACAACCAATAAGAGCCAATGTTACATTTCAGCCAACTGCCCTGCTGTTCACATGCATGGATACAAGGCTCCAACCTTCTGTAATTACAATGTCCAACCCTGGTGACATGTTTGTTGTGAGAAATGCTGGCAATATGGTTCCTCATTCTGACTTCTGCAGCTACGATCATATCACTACAGAACCAGGTATGTATGAATAGGCTAGAGAGCATGTTTGAATCGATCTGTCCTCGAGAAATAACTTTCATAGGAATGGTTAAGGATTTAAGGCCAGGGTCATGTTGGGAAATTTTCTACATTCCTCAATTGAGTCACATGTTATTTTTCAAACAAGAATAACTCCTTCCCCACATTGTCTACATCTTCCAGGTTTGCACAAAGAGTGCACTTATGTGCCTAGAAAAGACTTGTGAGACGATTTATTTTGTAAAATGTATAAAAAATAAAAAAGGAGAAAATTCAGTAAATTTTTTTGAGTTTTTTCACTGAATTTTTTCACTGAATTTTCTTGTTTTTTATACACTTTATCAAAACATTCTTCTCACAAGTCTTTTCTAGACACATAAGTGCACTCTTTGTGAAAAACTAGAAGATATAGACAATGTGGGGAAGGAGTGATTCTTGTTTGAAAAATAACATGTGACTCAATTGAGGAAATGCAGAAAATTTCCCATCATGCACCCTGACCTTAAGCCCAAGGCTCAATGAATTGTGGATGACTTTAAGTATGAGGGTCCTGTTTGAGACTTTAAGTAATGGTTGAAGCCTGAATTAAAACACTAACAAACAAGACAAAAGTGCATTAAATCACCAACAATTCATTGATATATGCGTTTGTAATTCTCCATATATAAATGAACATGCATCTATTCAGTCATTCTGGAACCTATGTATTGTGTTGTAATGTGACGTCACATCTGGGAATGGCCAAAATAACAGCCTGGTTATTTCATGGACCTCAGTCCCTAATTCTCTGTTTAATGCAACAGTTTACTGAGTAATGGATACAGTATATAAATTGTATACATTTGCATAGAAGCTAATGGTGCTTGTTAGTATGTCACCACCAGAAGTTGTGACACACTGTTATAATCTCCAACTTTTTTGTGGACAGTGTTTTTTGTGGACAGTGTTTGGTGGTTAGTGTTTGGCAATTGGTGTCTGTAACAAATGGCAGGTGGTGTCATTTGCATGTTAATGTAAAGTGGAACACCTCTAGAATTGTTTGTCAGAGTCCTAAGACCAACTGAATGTTAAATGTTAAATGAACTTCTTTAACCTCTTGTTGACTATCAAGAGTGGTGAGTTCTCTTCACCTTAGAAATGACCTTGAAACCTAGAGTGACGAGATAATCTGTCACCATTTTTTAAACTAAAACTGCTCTAATTTGGACAATTTTCATCCAATATCATCATTGCATCAAGTTGAGCATCACTTGTTGTATAGGTATGTAGTAAAATGTCAAAAGCTGGCGAAAATCTTCTGATTTAAAACCAAATTTAGAGCCTGGGATTCAAGAGGTTAAGTTGAACAATTCCCAAGCGGAACACTTTTTAAATTTTTTAGATGTTACCCAAAGGTGTTCCACTTAAACAGGTTTTACTGTTTATGCTATTGCTAATGTTGTGTAATATATATTTCAGGTGCATTGGAACTTGCCTGTATTCACAACCCCATCAGACACGTCATAGTTTGCGGCCACTCAGACTGTAAGGTAAATATTCCACATATTTCCATATGATAAGGTAAATATGCCACATATTTTCATATGATAAGGTAAATATACCACATATTCCCATATGATAAGGTAAATATGCCACATATTTCCATATGATAAGGTAAATATGCAACATATTTCCATATGATAAGGTAAATATGCCACATATTCCCATATGATAAGGTAAATATGCAACATTTTTCCATATGATAAGGTAATTATGCCACATATTTCCATATGACAATGTAAATATACCACATATTCCCATAAAATAAGGTAAATATGCCACATATTTCCATATGATAAGGTAAATATGCCACATATTCCCATATGATAAGGTAAATATGTAACATATTCCCATATGATAAGGTAAATATGCCACATATTTCCATATGATAAGGCAAATATGCAACATATTTCCATATAAGGTAAATATACCACATATTTCCATATGATAAGGTAAATATACCACATATTTCCATATGATAAGGTAAATATGCCAAATATTTCCATATGATAAGGTAATATGCCACATATTTCCATATGATAAGGTAAATATGCAACATATTTCCATATGATAAGGTAAATATGCCACTTATTTCCATATGATAAGGTAAATATACCACATATTTCCATATGATAAGGTAAATATGCCACATATTTCCATATGAGAAGGTAAATATACCACATATTCCCATATGATAAGGTAAATATGCAACATATTTCCATATGATAAGGTAAATATGCCACATATTCCCATATGATAAGGTAAATATGCAACATTTTTCCATATGATAAGGTAATTATGCCACATATTTCCATATGACAATGTAAATATACCACATATTCCCATAAAATAAGGTAAATATGCCACATATTTCCATATGATAAGGTAAATATGCCACATATTCCCATATGATAAGGTAAATATGTAACATATTCCCATATGATAAGGTAAATATGCCACATATTTCCATATGATAAGGCAAATATGCAACATATTTCCATATAAGGTAAATATACCACATATTTCCATATGATAAGGTAAATATACCACATATTTCCATATGATAAGGTAAATATGCCAAATATTTCCATATGATAAGGTAATATGCCACATATTTCCATATGATAAGGTAAATATGCAACATATTTCCATATGATAAGGTAAATATGCCACTTATTTCCATATGATAAGGTAAATATACCACATATTTCCATATGATAAGGTAAATATGCCACATATTTCCATATGAGAAGGTAAATATACCACATATTCCCATATGATAAGGTAAATATGCCACATATTTCCATATGACATGGTAAATGTGCCATATATTCCATATGATAAGGTTAATATACCACATATTTCTATATGATTATGAGTATCCAATAATTATTACAAAGTTACTATTAAGAACAGTGAATGTCAAGTAAGGGCTAAGGGTTTTTAGAAACTCAGTTGCGGACTCAGAAATACATTGCTTTGTTTTATAAAAAAAATATATATACTCTCCTTGATTTTTAAACATATGATTGAAAATTTCAAAATGCCCTAGTGCTTGAGATGCTAAAATCTAACTGATTATGTTGTATACACGCTTCTATTTTTGAATTTTTGCTTTTTCAGGCAATTAACCTCCTGTTAAACATGAGAGACAAAAAAGCTTTAGAGAACAAGGATGGTACTCCATTAGAGAACTGGGTCAAGAAACATGGTCTAAGTTCCGTTATGAAATTCGAACAGCTTGAAAATCTTGGAGACAAAGGATCTGGGCCAATCATATTTCAGGGGGCATCTCCAAAACACACATTTGAGGCTTTTATTGATCCTCAAAATGAGTACTCAATATTGGACAAGTTGTCACAGGTTAGTAGTAGAGGCATTTGTCCTTTTTATTACACCTAAGGCTAGGGGGGGGGGGGTGTCTTAATTAAGAGCTTTGTAATGAAATCAATGATGTCAGTATTGTTAGTATTTCAAAACACAAAGGTTCCAAATACTTGAAAATACTAACTTATACAGTCTTCACTTTCTCCAGGTTTACTGCCTGCAGCCACTACAGAATAACAAGGCAAAACTTTTCTTCAATAAATAGTTTTTATGTCACCACCACAATTAATGACAATTTTATGGTCTCCAACTTTTTGTGGATGGTGTTCGATGGATTGTGTTTGGCAGTTGAAGTTCAGTGGTTGCCATCTGTAACAAATGGCAGGTAGTGACATTTTGCATGTTAATGCCTTGTTTTAATATTTGTCTTCACTTTCTCCAGGTTTACTGCCTCTAGTCACTACAGAATAAAAAGGCGACTTTTTGTGGACGGTGTTCGACAGTTGTTATTTGGTGTTTGCCATCTGTAACAAATGGCAGGTAGTGACATTTAGCATGTTAATGCCTTGTTTTTATATTTGTCTCCACTTTCTCCAGGTGCACTGTCTTCAACAATTACAAAATATAGCCAGCCAAGATTTCCTGAAGGAAAAACTTTCGAAGAATGAGGTTCATCTACACGCTATGTGGTATGACATGAAACTGGCAGATATGTTGATATTTAGCCGTCAACGAAAACAATTTGTGACAGTTAATGAGGACAATTATCTCCATCTTTTGGAAGATTCTATGACCATGCCTGACCATAAAGAAATGGAGAAACCTAGTCCGGTCTGGCGTGGTTAAGTAACGTGTATATCCTCAGTTTTTATGTTATGCATTAAGCTAAAAAGGTGCAAGGTGTATTGCTTGTCTGATTGAATATTGCCACAAAGCTTTAATGAGGCTAAAAATGATGTACAGTCATGAAAAATACAAGACCGATGTAAAAAATATTGTACAGTTATGAAAAATACAAAACTGATATTGAGGCAAGTACATTATTTTGACACAGACCTGGGATTCAGAATTTCCGGAAGTCTGTGAAATATGTTATAATTGCAATTTGGAACACAAATTGAAAAATATACAAATGGTTGAGATATGAACTAAAAACTGGTAATATAATTTTTGATCTTGGAAGACTGTGATAAAAAATGCAGCTAAATTGGCACAAACATCAAGGAAGGATCATATATAATCATGTTACAGCCTCTTTTTGTGACTTGCAATCGGAGTAAGGCCTTCAACGGTATGTTCTGTAACTTTTTTTGCTGAACACTATGTTACCATGTGGTGATATTGCCTTTTAAGTTATGCTATTTGAAATAAATATATGTAAGTTATAATTTATATAAATATAACTGTTTTAATTAGTTCTTTTCTGAGATTGACAGCATTGGATTGCATTTTGTCTTCTAAAATACTTTAAATTTAAAAATCCATAATAAAGAATTAGTCCGTACATTTTGTGGTAAGAAGCATTTATTAATCCTTTTATGAACTAACGTTTTAAACATTCTTTTAAGAGCATTTACTTAGAATAATTGCAATGTCATATACTTCATTTACGTCTTCCTAAACTACATTGCGTGTTGTTTTCATCATCGTATTTTTAAAGCATTTTCGTTTAAACTTCAGACCACTTCTATAAACATACGTTGGTTAACAAAATGATTATTTGAAGATTATTTACGTTTTCGTGCATCAGCATGACTGCATCATTCGCACTGAAGGACGCCATGAGTAAGTCCAACCAGAGTTATAAATATTACTGGAATATGTAGTCTAAAGCCATATTGCAATAACAGCAATAAGCGTCGCTAAAACGAACGACTGTGTTATGCGTGTGACGCCATTTCCTGGTTTCACTGTGGTCGGGACTGTTGTTGACATTCTAGGCATAATGGATGGCTCAGCGTAGAATCTATTGTGAATTCCAGCTGGTAAAAGAGCGGGTGCTAGGACTCTAGCAGTCTCTTTCATTGTCTTGGCGTCAATTAATGCGAAGAAAGCTGAAATCATGAAGCATATTTTGAGATGTCTAATATACATGTATTATAGGTTGATTGCTTTTTCGCAATTTTTGCCATTTCAAGTCATGGATGTAAACAGGTTCACGTGTATGTTTAGTAAAAGTATTGCAAACAGCAAAGCAATTGGTACAAAATTCACATCTATATATAATGTCATATTCATTACATGCATGTACTGTACCTTTGATGATTTCATTATCACCAGGCTAATTCCAAAAATCGCTTGTTATTTTGGGGAATTTTGCAACTATTAATGTGTTAAAATTATAGTTTCCGCAAAAATTCATTGATTATGCCTTGGCCCCATTTGCTCCGATTTTCACTACGGCGCCCGGCCGATTGAGTATTTTGTTAATTGAATACAATATTGAACAAAACACTCAATTGGCGCCGGCCGATAGATCGGAGCAAATGTGTCCTATGTAAGGCATTAGTCTTGCCATTTGTTAGTAATTCTAGTTAAACGTTAACTTGGTTCATATAATTATTCCAAGTAAATTTCGTATAGCTTACTTTTATTATCAGGAATGCTGATTCCATTGAGCAAGAGAAATCCATCGTCCTCAACTGTGGCACCAGGTTTAGGAATAAAAATAGGTTCCCATGGCATGAGGCCAAAACCAGGGTCATAACGTAACTCCTCCTTTGTGTCAACATTCAACTGAAACATTTAAAAATTCTGAAGATGCAGCTATATTCTTTGTTGAGTACTTGTTTCTTTGTGTGTCGGTGAACGGTAAAGAACACAGAGTTTCTCGTCTATTCAGACTTTTCTGGCTCTGTCTCCAATTACACGGTATTAAACAAATACTGGATGATCAGAAGCTGGATAGGCTATGGCAGAATACCTATTCGAGAAAAAATATTGGGCGAGGCGGCAGCCGAGCCCAATATTTTTTCGAGGATAGGTATTCTGGCCATATCCAGCTCCTGATCATCCAGTATTTGTTTTATTATGCACCTCCCAATCAAAGTTAAGTGGAGTACTTACTGGAGTACAGGCTTAAACTGTCGTTTAGTTGACATTATTTTGACATTTATTTATTTTTTCTTTCAAAACTCAGACGACTTCCGGCCAGTTTATTCGCTACACTGGACAAAAATATTTGCCCCGGGAATTTAATTTTTATTTATTCGAGACGTTCTTGCAGAATTATATGTAACTTTTGAATGATAAGGGTAATTGTGATTGATTAAGTGCATTTTTTCTTCTGTTTTCCGCCAGTTTCAGATGTAAGCTTTAAGTAGTATTCCAGTTATTAAGAAATAAAACTCTGAAGTGGGAATGTTGCAAAAACATTGAAAAAAATATCCGACCCTTTTTCTCGAAAGGGTCAGATATTAAAAAATATCCGGCAGTTTTCAGAAAAGAGCAGAGTATTGCCAAATTACAAGCAACTAAGAACCAATCAAATTTGAGTATTTTAATGAGGTGCATAATAAAATACAATACAAATGCATCAATATGTCTGTGGTTTTATACTCGCCAAAATATGGCATTTAACTACAAGAGCAAAGGCATATCTCCAAGAGCAATTTCGTTCGTCGCGTACTTCCTAACCAATGAGGCACGATTGAACTGAGCGAAATGCAAAGGAGAATGTGTTACCTTCAGTATGGTTGAATTCTCATGTAGCACATCCATCACAATGTAAGCATATTTGTATTCCCTCCCATGGAAAGCATTATTCACGTGACTGAACTCGGCGTTGACAGGATAATCCTTTGTCAGATGTTGCTTTGTAATACTCCAGTTGCTTGTGTCAATGACAAGTCTTGCGATATCTGTCACAAAATTTGTCTAAAAACAGTATGATATGTTAACAGTTTATATTGGTATAGTCTAAAGTTGAGTTATTTTCTAAATTATGTTTACTTATTAGTAATTTTAGACGAGGTCATGATCATGTTTAGTACATGCGAGTATATTCTACATGTACCCTATCCCTCAAAATGGTCTCTCGATCGAGCCTTTACATGAATAAAAAATTAGGGTCCAGAAAGGGCATTTTAAAAAGCCATGTCCATATTAACTAATACAAAATAGTAACCGCTTGAGCGTCCAGAGCGAGAATAAATCGTTAACAAAAACATTTTTCAATTTATATATCAAAATTATACATGACATGGCAGTCACGATATATTGACGTCAGATTACTAATCTAGTAACAGACTTACCCCATTGTAAAGATCTCGGACTTTCAAATCATAATATACTCTTTCGTCGTCGTAGATCAACATGTCGGCCATTATCTTTCCATCTTTTTCATAGGCATTCAGCTGGAACAAGGATTATGAGGCAAGATTAATGCAATTGACCATACTAATATTTCAATAAATGTTCGCATAATATTAATATCATTTTGAGTGCAATCATTTATCGACAATACAAAATGATATTGAAAATTTTATCCAATTATATTATCAAATTCATATTTTGATTAAACTTCATATTTGATATTTAACTTGATAAGTTACAAACAATTATTGATCTATGACAACAAACAACATCTTTAATTTTACCTGGTTTGTGACAATCATTGGATTTATCTCCATGAAAACAAAGACCTTCATTTTTAATATTTTACCTGATGAGTGACAAACATTGGGTCTATCTCCATAGAAGCAACGACCTTCATGTTTGATTTATCGACAACGTACACTTTACTTTTAACAGCTTTCATAAAAGTCCATATTTTCTTGAATGTTGGAGTAGTCTCTGGTCTATACACTATGCAAATGGAAGTACAAATATTGGTCATGGACAGACATGAATAAAGATTATATGAAAGTAATCGAAATAAATTCATGAAAATTAGACGAATGTTTTATGACAACGTGTTTTTTCATGAATTGTGAAGTCAATTGTTTTTTAACTACAGTATGGTGTGTACAGGGTTTCCAAAATCAGGATCGAAGGAAAGTTGAATTGAATGAACTTATTAACTCTGAAATTTCAAGCTAGAATATGCAAAATTGACGGAGTTAACTAATTTTTTCTCTGGTCCTGTTTTTCGACACCCTGTTTATAAATTGTTACCACGACAGGCTTGATCTCAACTGATCTCAAGTGATAGACTCACTGAAGAATTCACAGTAATCCATAAGCATAGATGTTCCTGGTATGATAATGTAATTCTTGGTGATTGTAAACGAATGAAGATAAGGCATCAACTTAGATGTATCTGGGTACGGTGTCTTGGCAACAGGGTTACATTCACCAAGGGAGAAGTTTCCTAAGTTGATTTCTCCCTTGACTATCCTGGTATCATTAATAACTTGGTAAAGCAGAAGCCTACAAAAAATAAATGATAATTAGACATTTGACAACGATATTATTTTTGTGTAGATTCATCTCTCTGGTAATACATTAAATGTTACTCTAGTTCATGATCATTTAAATCATCATCCTCAGAAGTAACTGAACTAGACTTATATTAAACGATATTATTATTGATCACAAAGGGACTTTTTGATGAAGTGATAGGTTACCGTGTTCAGTTTGTCAAATAGATTAAATAAAATCCCAATTGTCATTTATTCATTTCAAGAGAAGCATATTTTCCAATACATCATTAGGAATTATGTTATTCAAAACTATCAGACAGCACATATGCAAACGTGGTTGTTGAATTTTAGACGATGCTTAAATCAACAGGATTGTATGAACCCAAATTTAATGCGATTGCCATCCTAAATCATAACGATTCACAATCAACAGATTTAACTGGATACAAACGTCTATAATTATTGATGATGGACCCCAGCGAACCTTAACATGGAGGATGGGACTAGTGTCACATATTCAACATTTGCTAAACTATAAACGTGGGTCTAAAATGGTTCAATTCAAATCAGTCATTCAGTTAACCAATCCTTACTTTGAGTCTGCGGGCCCTCCCAATCCACGAGGAGTTAAAGGCACGATGGCCCCCGCAACACTCCAAAGTTCTCCAGTTTCCTTGTCAATCCTATCATGAGCTGGGTTGTTTATTAAAATACTCCCCGTTGGTTGACCTAATGGAGGGCTCTCCTTAAAGTCGTACCCTCCCTTGCTTTCCATTGTATATTTATCAAGCAACATCCCTATACGTAAGTGAAAATAAAAATTGAATAGAAATGGCGATTATCCTTTATTTCATAATATGTTTTCTGTGAGGTAATAAACTATGTTAGAAAACACTTTCGTCATACCTTGGACGGTTTCAGTGACGGCCTCAATGTTGTCGCCAAGCTTCCAAAAACTAACTTGAGGATTTGAGTCCAGTTTATCTCGGAACATGTTCTGATTCTCCTTTAACTTGGTTAAGTTCTGAAATCATTATATGAAAAGTCTAAACTTTTTTTAAGACAACTTGTTATAAGTTGTTTATAACTAATAAATCGATTAAGGGCTGACCTTTATGTAAAACGCAACATTTGGACATATCTTTTTTACAACAACTAACAAGATTTTGAATGACTATAACTTGGAATACCATCGTTAAAATGGTATTTCGAGGGCAGAATAAAAGGACAACAACTATTAACTTGTTAAAGTTCTTACTTTTCATAAGATTAGTTTATCCTTTTTTGTTAATTATATAAAGTTGGTTAAATTAAATGGTTTGTTTATTACAAGAAACGGTTTAATATGAAAGTATTATTGTATAGCAAACTAAAAAATTCAAAACTATCACTTTTTAATTCAAAGTATCAAAATTTGAACCATTATAATACCAAATTATAGATCGATTTAGTTTGGTACACAATGAAAATATTTTTACAGATCAAAACATTAAGTGGCCGATATTTGTTGTATACTTACAAATGGAGAGAAAGGAGTTGCCCAACTAACTTGTGATTTTGACCAGTCATAGTTGTAACTTTTCCAAATGTTATAACCCCTGCTATCGTAGAATCTAAACATACAGCATACAGTATAATTGAGATTTGCAAATGCCGTTCAATGCATTAGTGTCATTTAACATAAAAATGTAAATCTCCCAAACCAGGGATACTCTTAAAATACAGAGAATACAATATGAACAACTAAGTAAATTTCAAATATAGCAACAAAACTCACAACAAACAAGAACAAAACCCAAGCATAAGAAACACCAAATACATAAAGAAACAGTGTTATACAAAATGTTTAACAGAATCACCACCAAAAGTTATGACATATTGTTACTCCAAATTTTTTGTGAACTTTGTTCGGCGGTTTGCCGTTTGACGTCTACAACAAATGGTAAACGATGATATTTTGCATGTTGGCCTTGTTATTTGCTTGTTATGCCTCTGTTACTAATATTTGTAGAAACACGTACCTGTTGGTAAACTTGATATCACCGCCATTGATGTGATACATTCCAGCTCCTCCGACACCGTCGAACCAATGCTCTATTCTCTCCATTGGATTAGGACTGTCAAGGTCACCAAATGAACCCCCAATTTGACGGATAAAGCGACCTTGGTTAATAAGAAGGAAAAATGTTACACACGATTACATACAACACAACTTTAAATCGTTTCATATTATTCTTATTTGTTATATTCGTTAGTATACATGTATTAAGGATTATAATGGATTTTTTGACCAAATGTATCATTTATTTTACAAGGTGTCGACTTTGTAAGCACCATCCTTATGTATATTGCCATACGTTTAAACTTCTCCAGCGTTATGCATTCTTGTTAAGATCAACCAAAGTAGCACTGAATTTATGAATTTCAAGAACGATGGATTAGGCTAAAATGGACAATGGTGTTTATTGACCTAATTTTTCATATTTTTATACACTTTTAGGACTTGCATAATTTTCAGAGCATCTCTGAGAGTTCTCGGATATGTACATGTTGCATAAATAATATACGTGTTTAATTGACCATGGCCGTTGACATCTTAATACCCGATATAATAGGGGCCTTTGATCCATAGTTTTATCTGGTATGGTTTATTGCTCTTGCGCTATACTATTTAAATGTTCACTTTGTCAAACATTTGAAGCATGTGTGTTTCTTTGCTTTCAATGTTTAGATTATTGAATGTGTATTTATTTTAAAAAGTACTATACACGGTTCTTCTCTTATTATCTGATATGAGTTAAGCAAGATATTTCAAACTATTTCTAATCCTATGATGTGCTATTTCAAATCATCTTTGTAAAGTTCTAGTATGAGTTTCAAGAAATAATGTGCTATGAATAGTCTCATTTTTTGGACATGCATTTATGTCATAAAAGTTTCGAATTCTTCTCTAACCCTTACCATTTATCCAATCGGGGAATTCACCGCTGACTTTAGTAACAGAAGCATTGGTAAATTCAGTCATTAGTGTTTCGAATCCAACTTTTGCATGGTTATTGATGGCTTCGCAATACAGGAACATTAAACACAACTGTGACAATAATCGTAACATTTTCCTCTTTATTTAGACGCCGTGCAGCAGTTTTACTATCTTCGATGTAGTTTGATGTTTGAAAGATCAGTCCTCTTTTAAACGCTCTTGCTCTGCTGATTCATTTAGTATGGCGTATGAATCAATGGATACAGACTCATACGAATGACCCATGTTTACATGTTGTATTTGCAGATTGTATTAAATATTAAGATTAGTTCAGTTTTACATTTGAGAAGATTGTAACGGTATCTTTTTGGGCTTATTTGATAATTGTTAAGTAATGTTTGGATAAGATAGCATATGTATGAAATAAATACACCCAGGAACATTTGCTTTAAATGTGCATTATGATTGTCAGATACTGCTAGGTATTAGAACCCGTACTTATCGTTCGATCAGTATTTGTTTAGCTACTTCAATAATTTCAGACAATGTATTTTACTTATCCCTAATTTCCAAGGGTAAAACAAGCGCGTGGCATTCAAACAATCAAAGCGAAGTTCTAGTGCATTCGGGTTCAATGCCCTCGCGCTTATCTATAGCTACATGTAGGTGTGATATTGTAAGGACGAAGACAAACGTCGGAGGATAACGATAAGGCATACTCGTCTTCCTCAGCATAGTTTAAAATGTGCAAAATCTCTCTACAGGGCGTATAAAAAAACGCAACAAGTAGATATCTTGTAAAATCACAAAACTAGAGATGACTACATCAATTTCATTTAATGCATCATAAAGCCACATCTCTCCTCTTTCCGATAATATGTCTATCATTTACATGTGATAATGGTTGGGTGAGAAATCCGTCCGTTTACACAGTGGGTCAAAATCGGCTCTTGGCCAAGTTTTAGAAATTGCAAAAATCAGTACAAGGGCTAAGTGCCAATGGAAGTTCCTCTGAATTGAATTGTTGTGACTTTTTCTTTTGGAGCTATATCAGGAGCATCTGTGCTCACAATTCCTCCACCAGATATTGCAAAACCTCGAGAAAGAATTGCCCATGGACTGCTTTTCTCTGCTTTAACCCACAGATGACTCAGGGCTGAACCATGCATGACGTGGGCAGATGAGCACATCTTTATGTGCAAGGAAGTGGTGGCAATTTGAAGAGGTATAGGATGTATTCTTGCAAGAGTATGAGTATGGACACTTTACTGTCTATGCCACACCTGTCACACCTTCTTCCAATAGCCCCTATACCCTTTGTACTGGCTTTTGCAATTTTTTAAACTTGGGTCCAAGCTGAATTTTGCCCCACTTTGCAAAATTAATGATTATTCGGCCAGTCATGACTCCCTGTGAATGAATGATATTCCATTGCAAAGAGGAGCAATTTGGCTTTTTGGTACATTGAATTAAAAGGATGCAGTCAGCATTGGTTTTATGTTTTTTTTCAATATTGCATCAGGCTCCGTACACTGACTTTTGCGATGTTTATAACTTGGCCAAAAGCTAATTTTGGCCCACTTTGCAAATGGAATGATTACTCGCCCAACCATGACCAAATATCAATGAATGATATATCATTGTAAAGAGGAGACACATGGCTTTATGGTGCATTGAATGAAATTAATGCTGAACTATCATTGGTTTTGTGCTTTTCCGAGATAACAATCTGTTGCGTTTTTTTTGATACGCACTGTATAGTATAGGGGCAAAGGTAATTCCGTGTCCTTTTTAGAGGCGAGCTAAGCGACATATATTTTTATGAACTATACGTGATACTTACCAAAATATGATGTTGGCATGATCTAAGGAAAAAAAGAAACTGTACTTTGTCTTTAAGTTGATAATTCGTGAAAAATTCAATGATCTATATATTTTCACGACCTGGAAATAACTGAGAAACGTACACCTGGAGTTGATGATATATTTGAACCAGTCATCCATCATTATTACGGTGGTCATTATTTTGATCGTTTATATTAACTTAAAGATACATACACCAGGATGTTATTTAAATTGGATATTTATAAGAAATAAATTGTTAACTCATACATATTGTATACATGTGATACAGAGCCCCCTCCAAAAATAAAACCAGATGCCCGAGATAGTATATGTGTCAAGCCTGTTTGGATCTTACTTTTACATATAAATTTACATATGAATTATATAACAACACTTGCCTTATCTTGCCTTCCGTCCAAGAGGGGATTTCGGGTTATCAGGACTTTGGACAAGATTGGTTGTAGATTTTGTTGGTCAGCCTACTGCAAAGTGTCAAGATCAGGTGGAAAATTACCTTAGTTTAGATTTAGCCATCTTCTCCCCGTGATTCCCCGGTATTTTCCATTTTAAAAGCCATACATGCAATTTTTCTACATATTTTGTTTTTGTCTAATACTTATACGTTGTTAAGAAAAAAATGTTGAAATGTCTTTATCAAGTTTATTAATCGGATCCATCCAAGACTAGTAACTGAAAACTTCCAAAAGTATGATATCACGAAAATTAATGACGTAAGGATAAATCCAATTTATTAAGATGAAACATACGCCAGAATCCACATTGCGACAACTGAAGAGAGGAAAACATTTTATCATTACGTGTTTCCTTAAACATCATGTCCCCATATTTGTTTAATATTGTTTTCACAAAAATACAGAAGCATATTATTTATTCGTATTGGGACTCCAGGTGAATAATTTGAATTTCAAAGACCATGACAAATTACAAATTAAAGATTTCGTAGCTTATACAAGTGTAATGTGGATAAGTATGGTTTTCAGTTAGTGCTATTTGTCACTATGTAAACACACGATACATTTACAGATTTGGAGCAAAACATATTGAAACTATCTTCTCATAAAGTATATAAACAGGATGTCATGTTCGTTGATTTTCGAAACAAAATGTGCCACGTTACACCATGCCATAGCTGTGACAGGTAGGAAAGAGGTAAGATGGTCCTCAACTATTTGATCTTAGTTTTTAACCCCTCCTACATTCGGAAAGTAAACTAAAGATTTTTGATAAATGTAACAACATTTTAATAATTTTAGTTATAATATAAGACAAGGTATATAAGCAATACAGATTCGATTATTTTAGAGACATCTCTTTACATCCGCAAAGTCATACACTACGTGCACTGTCTTACCTTGGTGAGTCACAAACATTTGTACTGTCTTACCTAATGAGTCACAAACATTTGCACTGTCTTAACTGGTGAGTCACAAACATTTGTACTGTCTTACCTAATGAGTCACAAACATTTGCACTGCCTTACCTTGGTGAGTCACAAACATTTGTACTGTCTTACCTAATGAGTCACAAACATTTGCACTGTCTTAACTGGTGAGTCACAAACATTTGCACTGTCTTACCCAATGAGTCACAAACATTTGCACTGTCTAAACTGGTGAGTCACAAACATTTGTACTGTCTTACCTAATGAGTCACAAACATTCGCACTGTCTTACTTGGTGAGTCACAAACATTTGCACTGTCTTACTTGGTGAGTCACAAACATTTGCACTGTCTTAACTGGTGAGTCACAAACATTTGTACTGTCTTACCTGATGAGTCACAAACATCGGATCTATTTCCATTGCAGCAACGACCTCCATGTTGGATTTTCTCACTACATAAACTTTACTTTTAATTTCACTCCTGAATTTCCAAAGCCTTTTAAATGTTGGATCACCTGGTGCGGAATAAACTAAAATGCAGATAAGAAATGCCGTTTAACAAAAGCGAGAGTTAATATCCATGGTCACTGTCAATACCCGAATGATATTCTCACAGAAGCTGGAGACGGGGAAAGGAAATATCATACATATATGAAATCAAAATATTACTTTTTTCTTCGCACATGTATGGTGTTAAACACTGCGGTTCACATAAAACAAGAACATTGAATTGTTGTAAGAACCAACTGTTTGTTACATTTGAGTAAATCTAGATCGTAATATAACTGAGTCCCTGTGCTGCTATCTGAAAAATGAACAAAAATAACATACTTACTAAAAGCATCACACGCGGTAGCTAGGCGTCGTTGTCGGTTCAAAAAAAAAACCAAAACAAATAACAAAGCAATGAGCGTTTGAAAATATAGTTACTTTATAATTGCGTTACAATTAGGTGCTAGGCCAATCTTGGTCGGCGGCGTGCGTCTACGCGGTAGCTAGGCGTCGTCGTCAGTTAAAAAGCAACGACATTGTTTGTTTGTAAATAGTGATTATTTTCAATTTAACATAAATTGTATACATGTATCTCCTTTATATAAAGGGCAATAAATATATACATACATACATCACAGTAGTCCAACATCATTGATGTGCCTGGGATTATGATGTAATCCTTGGTCATGCGCATAAATTATGTAGGTCAACTCAATTTTGAGAATTCGTTCGACTTTCTCTCACCTGAAAAATACAAAGACACTTCTTGATATAATTTCCACGAGAAACATGATTACAACTAGGGTCAATTTGAAGACAAACAACGTCGCTACATAGTGGTCCAAAAATTTGAAAGATTAAGGTAAGGAGCTCCGAGAAAAAGCAAAAACAACCGATCCGTTGTTTTTCAGAATCTCAACTTGCCTAGGGTTTTTAATGCTTGGTGATGCGCCTCTGGGGCCATGACAAATCTCAGATATATATATAAAGGCCCAGAGGCGCATGAATGCACCTAACTTCAACAATGACACGGATGAGCTTGTTGTCACTCGTGAAGGACGCGCAAAGGGAACTCCTTTCCTAAACTTTGGTGTCACAGAAAGGGCAGGGTTGTCTACTAACGCCGATGGAATTATGGGTAAGTTGAATCCAATAGTTGCGAATTCTAATAATAAGGTTTTAAGCAATGGACGGGTAGCGATGAGTTGGGTGTAGCATTTTGAAAAATAGTCACACTTTCGCGAATATTTCTAGCTCAAAGCATTTCTTATCATATCATTATGGGGTACGGTTCAACACGAGGGTGATGAAATTCAGGTGAAATTTGACCAAACTGATGTTTCCATCGTTTCAGAAAGATCTAATTTATAGATATTTTTATATGTGAATATCTGTAACATTATCCTAGACAGTGAACTTGATTTGCATATTTTAAACTACAAAAACTCAGGATGAGGAATACGGTATAGCGCGCGGGTAAGATTCGTGTAACGCAAATCCAATTCCTTGTACCGAACCGTTACCGCGCATTATACCGTATGCGCCAAATCGCTTCCAAAG